GAATAAAAAACTACAAAAAATAGAAACAATTGATAAAACATCCATATACACAAGGGTTTATTGGCGAAATAGCCATTTTAGTGATAAATTAAAAAAAATAACATTGATTTTGACATAATTTAGTGTCAGACTTTTAGTGAAATAAATATACAAAACACATATGACAACTGTAAACAACACATATAAGCGCATATGAAACGAAACACAAATGTCTAGGAACATGCCAACTTCTTTTCTATTCTATATGCCAAATACGACATAAATTTTGACATGACAGACGCAATATGATAACACTCTAACACCTTTCGCAAATGAGTATATGGGTACACCTTCATGGAAGTAGGCTATGAGTTCACATTTGTGAAAATAGAAAATGACTAGAAATAAGATGCATATCCATTCATGTAGAGCACATGAAATGGAAACAAGGCCTATGTAATTTCACATAATAAACATGATATTAAGATGATGATGTTTCGGGTGGGAGAGACACTAACGTATTCTGTGAAAAATGGTCAGTTGTTGGTTACAGCTATTCGACATGAAAGAGTAGGAAGAAATCACGTAAAAAGGTGGAGTTACCAAAATATTGTAACGAATAATAGAAGATATATGCATTGTTATTCCATATGACACAATAGTATAGTTCACGAAATAAAGACAAATAGCATGAAAGTACAAAAAGGTCCCCAAATGACAATCCCAAACGTACATAAATTAAACTAATCGATATCAACTAAACACGAAACCCTACTCGTAAATGTAAACCCTAATCCAAATTAAAATGGAACTTGGCATGCTTAACCTAATGTCACCCCCAAACGTTCATAAACTCAACCTTATCAACTAATAACTAAACCCTACACGAAAATATAAACCATAATCCAAATATAAAATTATGAAAATATAAAGTACTAGTACCAATTGGTAAACAACAGTTAGTGATAGTCTACTGTACGATATAAAAAAGAATATCGGAAATATGCATTTCTATTCTAAGTATAGTATGTATAATAGAAAGATGGTAACTGTAGGCTACGAGTTCTGCATTTGTAAAAATAGAACACGATTGCAAATAAGATGCATGTACATTCCATGTATAGTACATGAAATGGAAACAAAGTATAAATACAATATAAAGATAATGTACAATGTATCTCAAAGTGTTGACATGACTATGCGTTCATGGAACTTGGCATGTTTGACCCAAATGGCAACTCCAATCTTACATAAACTAAACTCTTTCAACCAATCACTAAAGCTTACACGAAAATATAAACCTTAATCGAATGTCAATCCCAATCTTCAATAAACTAAACCCTAGCCACTAATCACTAAACCCTACATAAAAATATAAACCCTAA